AATGGAGCAAACGTAGCTAATATTGAAATAGCTAATTATAGTTACTATGATGAAAAATAATATATATAATTTGCATTTTATTTTTATGTAGTTTAAAGATGGTAATTCATTCAATATAATTAGACACTGCAGTAATATCTGATTATGTAGTCATTCACTAAATACTAATCCCCTGTGTATTAAAATTCATCACTATAGGGATTGATGATTTGGGATGTATTGGAGAGTGTACCAGTCTGCAGATGTTAGATGCTTCTTACAATGAGATTTCAAATGTCCGTCCATTATCAACCCTTAAACAATTAACACATCTCAACCTATCAGCCAATATGATTTCATCACTAGGTAAGCCAATTGACTTAGCTTAAGTTTAAATGTATCTTCTTGAAACTTTTTAATTTTTGTTTCTCGAATTGATAGCATTTATTGTTTGTGGGCTTGTGCATATTGCGTGATCTGAGGTCAATAAACCAAAAGGTAGGACAAATTTTGAATGTTCCAAACACACAGAGTTGCAGTATACAGCTCGTCTATGTTTCCAACTTGCAATGTACGAAATCCCCTCAAATTAAAGTGTCATCATCTTTCAAATAATTCGTATCACCCTCTGAAATTTGCACACCATTCTGCCAAAGCAAGAAGAGTGAACATGCAAATTATCTTTGGCTATAGCATAATATTTGGTTGGTTGGCTCAAATCTCTGTTACTAGAGTATTATGTTTAGCTAGAGATTGGTTGAACAGTTTAAACTCTGACTAATACATGTTTTGGTATTAGAGAGTTTAAGATTTGCGCACGTAGCGGGAACGTAACATGTTGTTCTAATTTCGTTTGCGTTACGTTCTCGGGTGTCAGAAAACGATTAAGTAAAAGCGCCCACAGCGGGAACGTAACTGAAACAGAACCATGTCAATCCATCTCTCATTGGGCAACCATAATATAACTATCCAATAAAATTGTTATGTCATTTCACGTCCGGAATCTGAATTAGTAGTTAGTTCCTAGACATTTGAGAGAGCTATCACTATTTCCATCCACTCTGCTGAGGTCCCAGGCCTGTTTGCCGAATCCTCTTTCAACAGATCAATGTAACACGTTTTCAGTGGGAATAAATATCAGCTAAAATACATCCAATATTTCTTATTTCATCATAAATATACAAAATCACTCTAATATAAAACGTTTTATCAATGTCAGTGAAAATTAATCAAAATTGACAGCGAAAAAAGCTCTCGGAAATCAACGAGTCAGTCACTTTGATCACGTTTAAAATGACTGCCGTACGACCAGGCAACCGATGACGTCATTGGTTCGCGCTGAGGTCATGCACAAAGCAGTGACGTATCTGTCCTCGTCCCGTTCTCATATGCGCATCGTAATGTCTCTATTAACATGGTTAGAATTTTCTTTTTTTGTCAGATCCTCTCAAGGAATTGGAGAATCTTAAGTCTTTGAATATTGCTGGTAATTTAATTGGCAGGTGAGCAGTGATCATTTATTATATGCAAGTCTATTTCATTTAAGTAATAGCATGGTAGTTAAACCATACCATATTATCTAACCATGCATAATTCTGCATACACTTTTCTATTTAAAAAAAAATGCAATGCCCACTTTATTCAGAAAATAAATATACTTTTTGAAAAACATTGAGAAATACCAGTAGAAAATTGTGTCCATTCGATCCAATGAAGAAATTATAGAAAAGTACATAAAAATGTGGCACCAAAATTCAAGAGATTGAATCCAGAGTGTACGGAAAACAATTAATTTAAGCTCACCATGTAATTTTAATAATACATGCATTATGTTTTAAAGGTAGAGGATAAGTCGTTTTATTTCATATTGTTTTCTAGCACTGATGCTTTGAGATGTCTCCAAGACTTAGATGACTTGGAAAGCTTGCGTCTTAATAATCAGGTGAAGGATCTGACCAATCCCATATGTCACAGTACATTGTACAAACAGACCGTTCTTGGAATATTGCCGAGACTTAAAACGTTAGATGGAGAGCGAGTGATAGGACCAGGCAGTGAACTCTTCAGACTGTGTCAAGAGTTGGATGTGGTAATACAGAGTAACTGTGAGTCAAAAAACAAATCATTTTTTAGAGATGGCGGAATTGTTGAAAACAAATAAATAAAAATATATTGTTTGATTATTTGAATGGGACATTTAATTTAATTTAAAGAATATCAACGGTGGTATTGTAGTTAAACCTAAAATAGAAAATCACATACCATTAACGGTATTGCTAGAGGACAATAAAAAAATTTAGTAGTTGGGGAATCGAGCTTGCAACTCCTATGGTTACACTTTTCATCATTTATGAAATATTTTGAACAAGTACATATAATTTGATTTAATGGTCAATTCTTGAAACACATTTTTACAGAGTAATTGTTCAATTACAGCTCCCAGAGATGGACCAGTCAAAGAATACCAGATACCACGTCCACTATTGAGTGATGACTTCTGGAATGATAAGTCTACGGATGATAGAGCGATGATAGAAGCAGAAAAACAGATACAGGGTAAGTGTGATTGGTGTTTGCATCACCACTGACATGTATGAGTGTCATCCCAACAAAATAATTCATCAGTCAAAAATTAAAATGTCCCATTCTGAGAAAGTGAAATACTAAATTGTAGTTTCCACTTTCTTGTTGAAGAAACAGGGCACAATAAATCAATCAGTGTTTCAATGGGAGTTTGGATGATGTATTAATTAAGGAAGGAAGGAAGGGCACAGCTAACTAGTAAAAAATATGGAAATTTCAAAACACATATAATTCCCTGGCAAAAGTTTCTATCAAGCAAATCATGAATACCGGTACCTCAACATGTATTCCAGTAGAGTTAAACCCCTACTATGGTTGCCATTTTTGATTGGGAAATGGAAAACATAGATTTAAAAAAATGAGGTTTATAATTCAAAACTAGTTCAGGTACGTAAAGTGTTTTTCTTCAGAATTTAAAACAGCCAATGAAAAAAAATAACAAGTTTAAAGATGATCTTGTGTATTAACTGTGAACCAAATGTGTATTGTTTCACCATTGATCATCTTGAACACCTAAAACTCTAGCCACTTCAATGTCATTTCAGAGACATTTGCTGTGCAAGGAAAAACTCAAATAATGGTTATCGAGTTTCATCATGTGTAATTTTTTTTATACATAATTCCATCTACAAGTACATCCACAATTAAATATGTCACAAACTAAATACTAATAAACTATTTCAACTTCCTCTGTGCACATTTTAATAGGTGGTTGGAAATAATTCCGTCTCATCTGTCAATTATGACTAAGTTAAGCACTCCAACATGATGAAAATTATTAGATACTTAACGACACTGTATTGACAATTCATGAATGATTATCTATTATAGATGTTCTGGCAGAATGTAGAAAACTTAGTCTGAAAGCTGATGAAGCCGCTGACCAAGCAGCCGAGATGCTACGCCAAAATACGCAAGATAGAGAACTGAATCAAACTGACTGAATGATGATAATTGTTATTGTATATTTCTATTGAAGCAATATTCAATTGTCATTTATTGTATTTTAATCTATAAAACTTAATGTCATGTTCATCATTATTATGCATAATTTTCACACCTTGAATGTTTCAAAAGTATGTAGAGTTTCCGTCCATACTTTCTTGTCCTTGATATCATCTTTGAGTACTTTTGTATCATAAGTTTATGACACAATCTTTATATTGATACAGCTACAAGTTTTGTTTCCCTGAATTGACATGTGATTTTGATTGGTTGAATATAAGCATGCTGATAATCTGAATATGCTAATTTTCAAAATAATTTATATTTTCTATCACATGTTGCCTCGGCAACAAAAATGAAACTGTCCAAATTCATGCATACATGTCAATATTACAATTTAAAACTGTCTCATACACAATTTTCAACACATGCAATACAGTAAACCCCAAATACCTGTCTCAGCTCCTTGATCTTTTTAAACTGGTTTCATTGTTCTTAATTATCTACCCTAAAATTGACTGACATCCAATAGTTTAAAACTTATCAGTTTATTTTTTAATTAAATTTTTTTGTCTAAGAATACATCAAATTACTTGGCAGAGACTGTAACTATATTCTTTATAAATATGAAATGTAATATGTATCTTTTATTTGCAAAATAAATTTTATTAAATGTGTCATCTTATCAATTGTATTTCAGCTATACTAGTTTATTGACATTCACACAGTGGTGTTTAAGATGAAGATTCCCTCACATAAATTAATTCATGCATACATGTCAATACCGGTATTACAATTTTATAATTTGAACAAAAGTGCCTGCTCTAAGGAAGCAAAATTGTATGTTATTTATACAAAATTTCATGATATTCCCAGAAAATTTTACAGAATAAAGTCTGATGAGGTTTACCTAAATAAAAGCTTCATTGTATTTCATCAACAGGTGAACAGCACTACCAAAAGGTTTACAATTGGTTATAATTTTAGCATATACTGTACAAGGATTAATTATTCACAGGGTTTTAATTTTGCTTATTTCTCTGGCTAGAAAATGCGCTAAATTAAAACCCAGTGAATATGTAAATTTGAGCATAAGAACAGATTATCTAAATTATGAAACCGTGAATTTAAAACCCATTGAATATGCATGAAATGCTAAATCAGTGAAATTTTAAATAAACCCAGTGAAAATTAGTCATTTTACAGTATATTGGAATAAAAAGTTTTAATGTTTATTGTAATAAAACTATAATTACAAATTAGAAGTTATGCTTTTCAATAGTTAATTAGTTCTACTGGAAATGCATCGGTTAAAATATTAACTAAAAATGTTAGTTTTGGTGTGATTTTAAGTAATGCATATGCTATTAATATAGAAATAATTCATTTTCTTTGTTATCATATACTAGAATACAGAAAAAGGCCATTATTTGGAATGCCCTCTGACATCATACAGAAACAAAAAGTCCATCAAAATTTAAATTACACCATTTTTATAAATACTAGTATTACAAATCTTAAAGAAATCTTTAGGAACTGTGGTGAAAATATTGGAGGCAATAATGAAAAGGATGACATAAGATTTAGTAAATATTTAGGTAATTAATATACACAGATTTGAATCCAGAATTATTCATGCATACACACAGGGTTAATCGAGAGATACCCTCTTTTGTACATGGTACTCACAATTATAGGAAACACTTGAAAATTTTCTTTTTTTAAATTTCTTGAATCAATTTTTAACATATAAAATACTAAATTGGCATAATAATATCTGTAAACTATCACATGGCAGTTGTGATGCACATTACCAAAGAACACTTTAAAAACAAATTTAAATAATTTGTAATTGATAATAGCACCTTTATTAAATTCATGACATATTTGAAAACAAAATCCGTGCCAATTCAGGAGCTTTGATCCTTGGCTTCTATGGCACTGCTGTTCACATTTGAAAACAAAATCCGCGCCAATTCAGGAGCTTTGATCCTTGGCTTCTATGGCACTGCTGTTCACATTTGAAAACAAAATTCGTGCCAATTCAGGAGCTTTGATCCTTGGCTTCTATGGCACTGCTGTTCACATTTGAAAACAAAATTCGTGCCAATTCAGGAGCTTTGATCCTTGGCTTCTATGGCACTGCTGTTCACATTTTAAAAAAATTTTTATTAATTTTTAACTAAATTGACATAATTTTTCATTGCTGAATGAACACATTTTTCAGTAAATAAATACAATATGAAATAAAATTCATCCAGGTTCAATTTTGTAAAAAAAATAACCCATTAAGGTTTGGGTTCAAAGGTTAAAATCCCATGACTTGTTTCATTTTCCTCTTTTTAACTGGAGGTATTTTTTTTCTGGGAGAGGATAATGATTTATCCATGGATTGGGATTGAGTGGGGTGATTTAGTGTCAGCAATGTAGGCGCTGGCACAGAATCAGTCTCTGTAGTGTCAGGGATGTTTAGCCGCCTTTGTCTTTTCTTTCTTAGCTTCTTTCTCTTAGGTGTTGGGTGTTCAAATTCACTTCCAGAGCTTGATGTTGCTGATATTTCTGTTGTATTCTGTAAGTAAAACATAAAGTAATAATTTTTAACTTTTAAAATTGACTAAGTTCATTTGTTGTCCCATGTTGTACAAAGAGCTGCGCCATATCAACTCATCTTTTGACACGTGTCAGTCACTCTATAGACCAGTCTAGAAACAGTAATTGTGGAAATGTAAATTACAATTTCATGGACAAGGACTTTACTACAATCAGGAAAAGTGGCGATGTTTACCTTCACTTCGTGGTACCAATGCAGAGCATCGCAATTTCTGTATGAATAGCAAGTTGGTTTAAATGTATGGTGGGCTAGTTCTGGATGGGTTCAAATTTTTAGCTTTTAAGATCTCCAATTCCCTTCACGGTTCACAGTTGATTTCTGCATGCAGTTAGTGTTCTGTGCAGCGTTTATATGCACAATTGTCTAAAAGGTGTAAATCATATATTTATCCACCAATTCAATGTGTTTTAGACTGATCTAAAGAGGGACTGTGTATGATATTAGAATTTATGCACTTTCTGATGTCTTCCAATGATGATGTTATTTTCATCAATCAGTCAAAAGTCATGATAGTAATGCATTTGCTGTAGGATATCATCTCGCCAACAAACTTAATTTTGTTATTAAGTCAAGATCAGAAATGGGACAGTGCTCATTATTAAACATCTAAGACTTCTGAATGTATAAAGCCCAAGATCTTCACATACCTTGATATTACCACGTTTGTCATATCCAAAATGCCACGTATTCCACAGTCTTGAACTCATTTGATCTTTGCATGCCTCAAGATTGACCAGATTGATCACCTTATCTATCGAATATATATCATCGTCATCCTCCGCGAGTTGAAATGTTCTACTACTCGTTACGACTTTGTTGTCTTTGTAACAAGAAAACAGTCTACTGCCCTCTATGGTGGAAATTCCACATCTCTGACACCAGTTGGTAAGTTCACCCTGTTCTCCAGATCCATCTTGTCCACAAAGTCTACAGCATGGATGAGAGGTAGAACATTTCGACATTCCTGAAAAATGATCATAAAAATATCAAACTAGATGTCAAACAATTATTTTGCCATGTAACTCCTGCACATTAAAATTAGCCTGAAAAAAACACTGCAAATTCTTTTTTATATTGCTGAACAATATCGTGATTTATCCAAAGCAATGAACTCCACTCTGGCCGTCATTTTGAACTGAAAATTAGTGAAAATACACACAAGTGACAGTCATAATTCAGAAAATAGTTCGGCCACTTATGTTTTTATTTTCACATTCATATAACCAGACATCAAATATTACTCAGCAACATTTCTGTGTCAAAAGTGTGTTAACATGTCTAGTTTGTCTAGAAGCTGTTTATAAACAACAACAAATGCATGTCCAGTGAGAAAAACATGGTAAATATACATTTCTATAGTTAATGTAATTCCATACTCACGGGTAAATGCATGCCTCACATTACAAGTTTCGGTTCTTGCTAGATTAGGATGTATAACTTCAACAGGTTGGTTTTTGTGTAGTTCGGTGATGTCATCAATCCATTGTTGGCACCTTGCTTTGTTTTCTCCCAGTAGTCTCTTTGGTTTGAACCCTATACCAGGACATGCTGTTTTATCCCCAGTATTACAAGCAGAGTAACTTTGATAGACTATGTCCCCTCCTGAAGTAATCTAGACGAATATTTAATTTCATATATTTAAAGTCGCACTCTGAAATCATTCCTAAATTTGTATTATGAATTATGGGATATTTGAATTTCTGTGAGAATATTTACTAAAAATACTAAAAGTACAAACTTGAATAAGAAGTCTGAAAGATTGCAATGGTTTTGGATTCCCATTGATTGTATGCTCAAGTGATAATGCTAATAATCTAAATTCAATGTCATTCCTGTAAATTTCTCAACCAATCAGTGATAGTGTCAAATGTTATTACTACTTATATAATCATTAATTGTAAAACAGCTATACACAGTTATTGATGAATGCCTGAGATATGTATGTGATATTAACTTTTTACCTGAAGCACTGTGAAGGCATCTTGGTTTGAATGTCTGATTGCACACATGCCAAGCAATGTGCTCTGTAGTCTCCTATCCATCATTTGATATATTCTATCATCCTGGCAACTTTTTTTCATTGATGGTAACCATGAACTGAATAGACAAAACATTATGAATCACTGTCAAGTTGTATCTAGTGACAGTTTGATATATGCACTTCAATTAAGTTATGGCATGATGCATAAATAATGTTTTCAGGATCAAAGTTGAAACATTTAAATTTGCAGGTCAGAGTTCAGTATTGAGTGTATAGAGTTATTAGATATTCAGAGGTTGGATCTTCTAAAGTTTCACTCATCGTGTGGTAAACCATAACACATTGCTCCAAAAATACAACCAACTGGATGTATTTTTTCTATCCTGAATACAGCGAGCCTGGACAGTGTACAGTTAATACTTTTATTCGCTGCTGAGTAGGCAGATAACCATGGAAGTCAAACACTCAATCACCCTGATGTGGATCTGAAATGCTTACTATTGTGCCACATAATGAGGTTTCAGTTCAGGTTTGTAATACAATAGGAATAACAACTTGTATACATACTTGGGAGGTGCTATACGCCATGGTAAACCAACACCTTGTGCCGCAACACCACTTGAACCTGAAAACAAAACATTGTACAATATGACAAACTCATGTAGGCAAAACACATCCAAACACATGGCAAAGACAGCAATGGTGGGGGGAGGTATCCATAAAAGAAATGTGATTGCCACTGCTTTGGAGAGTTTTCAAGATGAGTAGAATGAATGCATTGACAGACTAAAATTAATTGTAGGGGTTTTTCTTAGAAGGTGAATTAGCTTTCAAATTTTGATTGAGACTTAATTCTGATCTAAATCTCAAAATCTGAATGGTGATTCATTATATGAGGTTGTCATAATACTTACTTGTATGTACAATACAATGTGTTTCTTTTGTTCTCTGTGTTGATAACAGTATTACATGTTCACCTGGTCGCACATTGTCCAAAATATCCATATACATTGGTGGTGACTGTAATTGGTGCTCCCAAGTTAGTACCTAAACAGAAAAAATTGGTTTTAAAAATGGCACATTCTTAATCATTCCATTTTCTCTTGATTTAAAAAAAAAATCAATATTATAAGCTGTGTGTTGTGCTTATGTAAATACAAATTAATCATCCAAATCCATCCATATATGTAAGCTAAACACCATATTCCAGCTGTCCTTAGAACAAAAAATATATTCTATTTTTCAGTGAATTTTTATGATTAATTACATGCGCCAACAGAGCAAACATGGCATGTGGAAAATAAAGACACTCATCAGAAATCCATTTCATAATTGACAATTTGTTTCAGTTATTGTAATAACATTTTCAACTGTGGTTTGTAAATTTACCGGTTTCCCAGGAAATCTTTCATCTACCAGCAACATAGAGCGCTTGGTAGCAATGTAGTGATGAAAGTGGTTGCTCGGGTGTTGCCTGGTTACCATGACACGATCATTAACGTCTACACAAGGAGATGGAAGTGCAAACAAACTTTTTTCCACCTGACGATCAGTCATCTATAAAAGACAAAATTATAGATTGGTACATATCTGAGGCATTTTTCCAACTCCAGTTAATCATTAATTATCTGCCAGCAACAGATAATTTGAAATGGGTGCATTGATGAATGAATTAAATCTATCCACACACAACTGAGACCAGTTCCAGAAGAGATTTTGAGTTTTTTTAGCTTTAAAATGGCTGCCATACAGCCATCTTGAATTGAATCATGGAACAAATGCATGCGTATATGTGTCATGTTACATGTGATGCATGTGTGAATGGTATCAATCTAATCTGAGATACATGTGCAGATGTATAGACACATGGTCAGACGTGTAACTGTTCTGAACGTGAAGTAATAAAGAAAGATGTCCATGCTAGCAGTAATGGTCTAAAATAAGACCAGCTAACTAGAAGTCCTTAATAACAATATCTATACAGGCCATCTCTATACCAATAATAATATCTACTCTTCTTGCTAGTTGCTGCTATAGAAAACACATCCCTTGTGCATACTGTTAGTTGAGTCTAGTTTGGAAAGGAATGATGAATAAATGAAGGGTGATAGGCATGATGTCTTACCCTACAGTCTTTCATGCGCAGACCAGTTCTATCAGTGATTACTAGTAACCGAGGATGGCCAGCAAAATGACAGTGCACCCACTTGTCTCGACTTGGAAATAACACAGTAGTCTGATCAATATCTTGTAACCTTTGAAAAGTAAATTAAAAGAATTAACTTAAAGGCCGATCTGCAAAAGTCATAATCTTTGTTCATATGGTACCCATATCTTACGCATATATGGTGCAATGACCATGGCCCTAAATTAAATTTGGGGGTTTAAACTTTTATGACACTTGCATGATGTATATAAATGACTGCACATACTGACACATGCTCAGACTCCTATAGAAGGAAAAATATTCTCTTTATTTAATTTTAGTGATTTTGATGAGATATTTACTGAATTTTAAATTTGCTCATTTGTTTATTTGTTGAATTTGAATGTTCACTGGTTTTAATTTTAATAGTACATTCAGCTGTAAACAAACTAACTTCTCATCCTACCTACCTCTGACCTGTCCACAAATACAGATTTCCATTCTCTAAGGCAAATGCACATTCACCAGGTATGAATGGACTGAAAAGACAAAAATATTTAACAAAAAAGAACTGACAATCTGCACGTGTCACATGTTCATGTCTACCAAAGGGCTCCATGCATCATCTATGTGCCAATATTGTAAGAATCAGTCATTGTAATCAAGATAAACTAACATGGATACCATCAGCCATTGTCCGAATCTCAAAAAAATATGGGGTACACCTGTAACCCAATATACAAAATCATGATACAAAATTTGAATGAAATCACCCTATCCATTTCTGTGACACTTTTATGAATACATTTAAGTATCTGAATTTATCAAATTTGAAGACCGAAATGGCTGCCAGTCAGCCATTTTGTTTAAATGGCAAAATTTGCATTTGCACTTTAAAGGGTTATGATCATCGTGTCGCATCCTGTTCAATATGGAACTCATAGCGTCATACACAATGCGTAGCAAAATACATCGCTTGTTGACATGAAATTTGAACACTTGTCGTGCGCCGGCCATTGCCCTTTAAATAAGATTGATCAAAGCATATTTGAGAATTGGCACAGGAGAGACAAAATTGAGAGTCCGAAAATTTTGTAGCAACAATTTAGAATTTGTAAATTTTTGACCAAATGGATGTAATTTCTCATGGACTACAGGTCTGGACCCAAATTTGGAATGTGTTTGTTAATAAAACCAGAATTTAAACAATACTT